ATCTTGCGTATTCTCGTCCACTGGCGCGACGAGCTTAGCTTCTCGGTGAAGACTGACAGCGAGGCGGCGGCGACGGCTCAGCCCACGCCGCTGGCGCGGCTGTGGCGGGGAAGAGAGGGGAGGCGGAGGCGTTTGCACGCACCGTAGGTCTGCTTTGTGATGGCATTCGTGCTGTAGAGAAAGTGGAGGGTCTCCCCGCTGATTGGCCCGCGGTACGCCTAGTGGAAGGATGTGGGCCAACGGACTGACGGTCAGAGAGGCGCAGCCGGGCACGTAGGGTCGATGGCGCAGCGCGCCCGATTGCTGTCGATGAAGTACCACGCCGCGTCGCTCTGGGCAGCCGACGCAGTGGAGAAATCTGACCGCTCTGTGGCCATCGAAGCCGATCGGCAGCCCAAGCAAAGGACGGCTCCTCAGGCCGCAGAGGAAGGAAACCAACTGGGGGCCGTGAACGAGCGGGCTTGCGCCACTGGTGGAGGATTCAGTATGCCGCAGGCAGCTCCCACCTCGATGGGTTATCACTACTGCGATTGTATCGAAGAGGGCTTCAACATTCGACAAACAGGAATCGAGGGTGACCGCATGTCTGCATCATCAGTCAGACGTGTCATCCCACATCCGTCCCGATCGTGACCAACCAAAGCCACCCCTCTTCTAAGATCCGCGCTTGCCCGGATCCTGAACCCTCTGCCGCTCCCAGCTGTGCTCGCCGAGCCGACGCCACCTCCACCTCCGCCTTCAATCTCAATGTCCCACCCCCCTGCGCGCGGGCCTTCTAGGCCCGCGGGTAGTCTCCCCCCATTCCCAGGGCCTCCAGGGCTCGCACCTCAACCTCTCACAGACCAGCGCACAGCGCCATAGGACGTATTTTCTTCTCAATAACATGGGTCAAGGCTGTGAAGGAAGGTGAGGTGGTTCGAGTTTGAGCGGCTCAGGCCGCGGGAGCCGCTCACCTCAGGCCGTGTGAGGAGCTGACCTCTGTCGGCGCGCACGCAATCCGGCACTGGCCGGTAGAGCTTCTACCGGCAGACTCGTAGACACACCCTCCTTATCCAAGCTCTCCTGCGCGTCGATCTGCTGGAGGAGCTCGCCGGCGACAGGCACGAGCTCGTTGAAAGCTCTCCTGATCGACGACAGATAACTTCCTTCATCTCCCCGCGCCGCCATGCGCC